AAGTTATCCGAATAGAAAGACGGAGTAGGCTAATCCGTCTGAGGTTTTTTTAAAAAATAAAGTGAAACGACTATTTCGTTTCATTTAAAATTTTCAAATTGAAACGGAGTAGCCAAATCCGTCATGCACTGCCAGGAAAAAAATGTCTGACTTACACTGTCCGGAATGAATATTTTTTTGTTACATATGTTGGTAAATTACTCTTTTTCTATTAACCCATGCAGGGGCACACTTTGAATTTTTCCAAGGGCTACCATCTCTTGGATTCCACTACCGAGGACTGGCACTCCCAGGTGCCGTTAATTCCTAGTGATTGGAGTCGTAATATTATTGAACAAATCTATGCTCTACACCTCCTAATATTTATTACTCTTCATCTAAAAAAAAGACTTCTAGTTACTATTGGTGGGTCAAATAAACTCTACTTTCTCTAAACATTTTTAACGATAATTTGATAAAATAAAATGACTTTTTTATCACTAGTTTTGTAGAATTATTAATGTAATTTTTTTATATTTTTAACTTTTTTTAAATTCAACACAGAAACTTGGTTTTATAGATTTAAAAATAACTTTAACTAAACATCATAAACTAAACAGGAGCAAAGAAATATAATGAAGTAAATTCAACTATTCAAATTAGCCGCATGATATTAAAATTCCCAAAAGTCAACTTTCTTTTAAATCTGAATGAAGTCGATCGAATTGATCAAATTAATTTGGGGGAGATCAGATCGAGTAACTTTCTACCAAAGTGTCATCAACGTCTACATTTCATTTATAAACTCTATAACAAGTATAGTACGGAGTACTTTTTTTCTCTCTTTGAAGTCAACTTGATATCGTCCATAGAATTCGATGATGGTGAATATCATCAACTAATGTCCATCAATATTTGTCTACTTTTAATTTTTTTAACAAAATTGATAAATTTTAACATCATATTAAATAAAAATGATATTAGACATTGATACAAGATCAGTCTTATTTGATTTATTATATCAAGTATTATCAACATATTTTTTTATCTAACTAATATACAATATATAGGTCAAATATAGGACAAATACTCAGGAACACATGTATTACAAGGTCAAATAAAAAGCAAAGTTCGTTTGTGATGGGAACCAAGCCCATCGAGAGAACATTAGTAAATTGGGCCTTGAGCCAATTTATGTTCCGTACATCATAAGGAAGACCCGGCCCAGAGAAAGTATTCTGGGCCGACAAAGAGAAACGGTCCAAGAAGTAATTAAGATAGGGAAAAAAATAGGATTGGGGCCTAAGGATGGGCTGAACCCCAGCCCATTTGGAGCAGGCCACCCAAGAAGAAAGGAACCCTACGGAGGAATTAGGGCAAGCCGCCCTCTCAAAAGAGGACGGACAAATATTCCTTGGACGAGAGACAGAGAATAAGGGATGGACGGACAGATTTGTCATCAAGTGGACGGCGTTAAGCTAGGAATGAGTTTCGAGGAAAAGTGAGGATTGCCCGGATATCCTCCCCAACCACCGCGAATATTTTGATCACATGGTGGCTGGGGAGCTCCTATAAATGAGGAATGAACTTAGAGAAGAAAGAAAACTTATAAAAGAGAGAGAAAAGACTTGAGTAATAATAAAGATATTATGGTGGTCCTTAAGCATATTCCGATCCCTAAGTGGACTGGATAGAGAAGAAGATCATCAGTTTGAGTTCCTATTCTGTGTGCAGTATCTTCAATTACATTTTATTACTATTCTCATACTATTCTCTCACTATTATAAGGCGGCCCAGATACTAGTATTTGAACATGGACTGATCAACAGTCCTAGAGAAAATATTAGACATCCATCAGTTTGTAATTGGTTCATATTTTCTTTTAACACGAAACTAATAATGGTAAGTGGTAACATTTTAAGGAAAATATCATCAATCAATTAATTAATTAAAACACGGTCAAATATATAACGTAAATGCTATGGTAAGAAAATATTTACTACCCTAATAAACATTTACTCGTACTTTTTTCAAAATAAAAATAAAAAATTTTTGTACTTCTTATGTGAGAAGTTTTTTTTAAAAAAGGTGAGAAGCATATGTCAACTAAAAAAGCAAAAATCAGAATTCCATTTTATTATATGGTTGTGTGTTAAGAGGGCAGCAATAAAATTGCTCATTTGTTAGTTAAAAGTATCTGGCTCGAGTTCTCATCGTCTAGAGTGGATGTCTGATCTACCCCTCCAGCTTGCGTTTGTGAACGAAGCCTTACAATTTGGTAATAATAATAATTAGAGCGAAATTCTTTTTAAAAAAAACTTTTCTCATGTTTGGTGAAACTTGATAGAATTCAGGATGAGTATGGACAACTGGATTGGGTAATAAGACACTTGGGCTGAATCACATTAAAAGATTGAATCCAATCGATTAGTTAGTTCAACACAAGGGCTTATATGCCGGTTTATTTTCTCTTCAAGTTCCGATGTGGGATACTCTTTAACACTCCCCCTCAAGTGGACAGCCGAGCCATTTTGAATCTAACCGGTTGACCACTTGTAAATGGACTCCCATCCCCTTGATTTTTTTAGCGCCAACACCTAAAGGACCACGAACTGCTGGGTATGGACTTCTAGACGAGCAATCGTGTTAAACGGGCCACAGGCCGTTGGGTACATACTCCATACGGACAACTGGGCTAAAGACTAACGGGCCGCTAGGGATGAACGTCTAGACGGACACCTTGACAAACGAGGTGGGCCAAAACCTGCTCCGATACCATGATAGAATTCAGGATGAGTGTGGACAACTGGATTGGGTAATAAGACACTTGGGCTGAACCACATTAAAAGATTGAATCCAATCGATTAGTTAGTTCAACACAAGGGCTTATATGCCGGTTTATTTTCTCTTCAAGTTCCGATGTGAGATACTCTTTAACATGTTGAAATTCCGGCGGGCCAAGAACAACAGATAGAGTGTCGGGTAAAATTAACCACTTGCACATAAAGTCGGGATCCACAATTCTAACCCAAAAGCTTAAGCTGATAGGTAGGGCTTCACCGTTCTATATATGCTAGTGATACTCATCTTTATTTTCCAATGTGGGAACTCCAACACTCCCCCGCAAGTGGTAACTAGCCTGGCCTAGTTAACACTTGGATAAACGGGTCTAGCATCTCAATCTCTTATAGCTAGCCCACACAACGGGTGGTGACATCTCAATCTCTTTTTAGCCAACTCAGCCCAAACCACATATGGGTAGCTCATTTTTGCTAAACCACATCCAAACAACCAAGAACAATCAAACCCGGACTGGACCTGCTCCGATACCATGTTAAAATTCCGGCGGGCCAAGAACAAAAGATAGAGTGTCGGGTAAAATGAACCACTTGCACATAAAGTCAGGATCCACAATTCTAACCCAAAAGCTTAAGTTAATAGGTAGGGTTTCACCGTTCTATATATGCTAGTGATACTCATCTTTATTTTCCAATGTGGGAACTCTAACAAAACTAAAAAGGATATCAAATTTGATATCTCCAGATATCATAAATTTTCAAAATGGAAGGTTTCGAGATCTTTCGAATTTGAGAGATATCAGTATGGAGGTTTGATATATCTCTCAACCGTTGATCTTTCTCCACCACCGGCTACCATTGTGACCGCAAACCACTCCCTTTGTCAGTCACCCTCACTTATCATTAATTAAATCAGGATTTCAGATCTCTCCAAAAAAATTTGTTTTAGGTTTTACTTTTCAACATTCATATCATTTTTTCAAGATTTCATAACCAGGGCTGGCCCTGAAAAATGAAAAAATAAAATTAGCCCGGTCTAAAATTTACATTTTGTGCCATATTCTATATTTTTAGAATACTTTTTGCTTTAAAATTATTAACAAATTTAAAAATATAGTGCCCTAAATTTTAAGGAGCCCTGTGCGGTTGACCACTTTGCACACCCTCCGGGCCACTCATGTTCATAACTTATATCTTATCATATCTCTAAAACTCAGCAAAAAATATCCAAAAAACAAAATTATACTACGTATTGGTTTGTAATTGGGATCATAGTGTTCTTTTTTTTTTTACACAAAACTAAAGTCTCTTCATCCGCTTAAAATGAAATTTTCACTTCTAACTTCATTAAGGATAAGAAAACGTTTAAATTTTATTTTGCAAATTTATAAAAGTGAAAAAGATAAACATCATTATGGGAAGGAGAGAGTTAAGTTTTAGTGCAACCACAAACATTTCACTTGTTAGCAAAACATCGCTGTTTTTAATTAAAACATAAACTTCATTATCGGAAGGAGAGAGTTTAATATTATAATTACGTGAATCTAAAATCTTATAAGTAGAGTCTAAGACTGACAGTTGGACTCTCTTAACTACAGTATAAAATTGAAAAAAAAGAGTTGATTAAGTTGGAGGGTAAAATTTGATCATATAGGACTAAAAGATAATACGATTTCCTGAATAGTATTAAACATATATTTCTTCCAGCCCAGAAAACTTTTTCAGTTTTGACTTTTGTGAAGAAAAGATATAGATGTTTGACAAAGTGAAACGACGACAATTGAAAAAAGTTAGACTCGAGAAATGCCAAAATGGGCAGAGCGTAGAAGATAGTTAAGGTAGGTTCGATTAATTTAAAAAAAGTAAGGGCAATTGTGTCCATTTAGATGAAATTGAAATGTTTTATAGGAAACGTAAGATGTGAAAGTTGAAAAGATTTACGAGAAGAAGGAAGTATGTTTTATTACCTTTATGACACATTTTAGTATGGTCCGCCAAATATACCTTCATTAGCAACATGTGATCATTAGTAATTAACAAGTACCGAGTAATATGTAATGCATTATTTTACTTGAATTGTGTAATATGTTATTCTTTTATAATGACTTAAAGTTTTTCCAAAGACATAACATTATACTCCCTCCGTCCCAAAAAGATCGTTACATTTCATTTCTTTGCGCATCACAAAAAGCAATGCTACTCACATCTAAAAATTCTAAAATTTACCATATTTACTCTTTATTATAAGATGAAATTGTTTTGAAAGTTTTTTTGGCATTTGAAACGATATAAAAGTATTTTAAGGGATGCGCAAAAAATGAAACGTAACGATCTTTTTGGGACGGAGGGAGTAGAAGTTTTTGAGGAAAAGATATACCTTTAAGCCTCGTTTAAGTAGAATTCCCTTATTAATTCCGAGGGACACTGATACTTGACTTGACAGTGTACAACGCAAGAGGAAAAAAATAGAAAAAACATTGGGAAACCCCGGATTGCAGGATTTTGAGCAACATGCAATTTAGTTAACTAATTAACCTTTCTGCAATTGACTCGAACCTCACCATTATTTCCCGTCAATGGATTTATATTTCCCATCTTGATCATAGACTGGGCAAAATCTCTTGCAAAAATCCCATAGTTTCTGCTATAAGTCTGGACAAGGCCACCGGTTTGCCCGGCGCCGCCGCCGAACAATGCCTGATCAGAGTGGAGAAGCCCTCTATTCCCCAACAAGTTACTGAAATAGTTTGTACCAAAAACGAATGGGCCCTGGTCAAGTGACGCAAGGTTAGAGTCGCCTCCGACGGGCGGGCACCCCGCTCTGAGCCGTGACGCGAAGGCGTTGTCGATGTTGGTGTCGTTGTAGACGCGGCTCCTGAAGATCCTACACTGGGCGAACCCCAGCGTGTGTGCCCCGGAGAGTGCCACAAGGTCTCTCACGCCGAGGCCGTGGCGTGAGAAAGAGGCGACTAGAGCGGGCAGGTCCATGAACGGCGTTGGAATGTCGTTGTCGGCGGTTGTTCGGCTCGCCGTGGTGGAGTCCCTCCTCCCGAGTTGAACGGGCCACGACGGGCCCCCTAGCGCGACGACAGAGTCGCGAGCAGCAACGGCTAGGATGTCGGCGCAGGAGACAGTGCTAGGACCATTGTTGCATGCTCTATCAACTTCCAACTTGATTTGGTCAATGACCTCAAATCCTCGCAAGGAATTGGCATTGCCTAGCGCGTTTTTCTCGCTGTCGATTGTGGGAGTAGAGTCTAGTAGAACTGAAGCATCACAACCCTAAAATTAAACATTCTTTGTCATTTCAAAAATTCATAATAAAACCAACCTTAATAAACTGATTGTTAAAGTATCTCACATCGTAAAATGAGGAAAAAAGTAATCGGTATATAGGTTTTTGAGTCGAACTAAATAATTGATTGAATCCAACTTTTTAAGACGTTTGAGTTGAACCAAATTATTAAAAGATTGAATCTAAACAATTATCTAGTTCTATATACCGATTACTTTTTTTTTCTAATTTTTGATGTGAGATACTTTAACACTTATTATGGAAAAGGAAGCCGGGGAAAACGGCGTTGCGTGCATGGATCTTACGTTTACAATGCAGTCGTGGAAATGGAGGCGCAGCAACGAGGCACCCATCCGTGGCTCTTGTCTAACCGCATCGAATACAATGCGTCGGATGATCGGGAGAGCTTGGGGACACACGGTTTGATAGAACGACCGGGATAGAAGTGAGTCCGAAAAGGCGAGTTTAGTAGCATAAGAGAACAAGACCAGCATTGTAACTAGGAAGAAGGAGCTATGGGAAGCCATTTGATCGACCTTAATTGGCAATTAGTTAGTAAGAGTTCTTGTGGTGCATGCAGGGAGAAATTAGACCTTAAAATTGAGTTTTTTTAAATGGTCGTGAAAGATGAAACACAATACCCCATTTATAGGATAACATGCATAGTTTTATTAATATTACAAAGGGGAAGTTAGCATTATATTTTTAAGTACTCCCTATATGCTTGTCTAAAAATTTTCTCCCCGATTTGACTTTCTTGTTAGTAATTTTAAGCTTTAACCATAAATTATGAAAAAATACATTGAATTATTATATATATTTAGTATTAATAGATTTATTTTGAAATACTCCATATAGTTTTGATTAATTATACTTTTATAATATATTTACATAAAAATAAAGATCTAATTGATCAAATTATTACATCAAACCCTGAGAAAAGTCAAACAGGAAAAGTAGACAACCAAATATCTTACATTGGAAATTCTTTGACCTTTTATAACTATAACCCCTGTATTTCTATTTCTTTTGACCTTTTATAATTATTACCGAATGTATATTTATATCCCCTATATTTCTATGATTGGAATTGACTTTTCTAGTTATTCATAAATTTTCATGGATATTTTTAGTTGACATTCCTCAAAGCTAAGGTATTAGTTTGACCTTTAATATTGTGCCGTCCCTCAATATTTGTCCTTTCTATTTTCATTCATCCAAAAAAAAATTTATACTTTCAATTAAAAAATTATTTTTATCCTACTAATTATTCATTCATCCTACTAATTATTTTTAATAACTTTTTATTTATTGAACTTCAATTCTCTCCTGGCTTGATTGGTAAGATGCTTAATTATTCTTTACGATTTATGGCGAAGTTTACCCAAGTTTGAGTCCCAGCAGAGGCGGAGACGTTGCCTTTTTGTAAGTCATTAGATTGAGAAATGTATAAACATATACTACATTGTAATAAAGTTAATAGCATTAAAAAAAACTTTTTACTTTTTTTTAAAGGAGTGGTGGATTAAATTAAGAAAGAAATGAATTCTTGGGGTGAACGAATCCACTTCCCTAAGCTCTATGGAGAACGAGAAGCTCACGCTAACAAATGTGCTGCCTCATTAGGAGAGCAACAACATAACAAACACTCAAATCTCCGCAGCAAAGAGCAAGGAGAATTCTACAATCAACAATAAGAGAATTAAAATAAGACAATTAATTGGTAGAACTATTGAGACGTTGGACCACCTCCTATCTCGATCGTTACTGTAGGCCACTCCTTTGACTTGATCCAATTGAGAGCCTCCTTAACTGCCATAGCTTCCGTGTTTTTAATACGACTTATAAGGCTATGTTCTTTTATACGTCGTCATTAGATTGAGAAATGTATGAACATATACTAGATTATAATAAAGTCAATTACATTAAAAAACTTTTTATTAATTTTTTTAAAGGAATGGTGGATTAAATTAAGAAAGAAATGAAGTCTGGGGGTGAACGAATCCACTCCCCTAAGCTCTATGGAGAATGATAAGCTCGCGTCAACATATACACTACCTCATTAGTAGAGAAAAGAACATCACAAACACTCAAATCTTCGTTGGAAAGAGCAAGGATATTTCTACAATCAACAATAAGAGACTTAAAATAAGACCAATCATTGGTAGAACTATCGAGATGTTGGACCACCTCCTGTCTTGAGCATTACTCTAGGCTAGTCCTTTGACTCGATCCAACTGAGAGTCTCCTTAACTGTCATAGCTTTCGTGTTTTTAAAATGACTTATAAGGCTATGTTCTTTTGTATGTCATTAGATTGAGAAATGTATGAACATATACTACATAGTAATAAAGTCAATAGCATTAAAAAAACTTTTCATTTATTTCTTTTAAAAGAAATGGTGGATTAAATTAAGAAAGAAATGGAGCTTGTGGGTGAACGAATACACTCCCCTAAGCTCTATGAAGAATGAGAAGCTCGCGTTAACAGAAGTGCTGCCTCATTAGCAGAGCAAAAAACATAACAAACACTCAAATCTTTCTTAAGGTTGCTAAAGGTAGTAGGGTTTAGAGTTAGGGTTGGTCCTAACATAAACTAATATGAATGGGAGAATAGGGAAGAACCGTTGGTGGACCTCTTTTTCAGCCTGACCCTGAGTTTAATTAGCAATTTAATTTCAGGATCAAGACATAAATAATTGGTTAATCAGATTTGTTCAGTTCATTTTCTATTAAAAACTACGGAGTATAAGTATTTTTCAAAATGGTTTAAGTTAGTTACTACTGTCTATGTTTTTATAATGATTAAATGTGTGTTTGTTTTCACCCTGAGTGTTACTTCTGAGTTCCAAGCTTGTTGTCGTGGTTTTATCTCTTATCTCTTATCTGTTACTCTTATATATCTTTATTTTTATCTTTTCAGAATTATCATTCAAACCCCCCGTATCCTTTAGTTTTAGTTTTTTTTAGTTTTAGTTAGTGTTTTATTCAATAAAAGTGACAAGAGAATTGGTTTTCATCGCCTAAAAAGTATCTTTTCTCGTAAGATTGACTGTTACTTGCCCTATCTATATGTTTTAATGAATATTTTTTCATAAAGGGGATTAAGAGTTAAGGAAAATAATAAATTAATTTGTAGGTGCTACGACATGCCTAACAAATTTTGGCGCCGTTTCCGGGGAAAGATTAACTTTTTATGAAAGGTAGTTTGCTTTTTCAAACAAAAAAAGTCAATAAACATGAAAAGCCAAAAAAAATAAAAATAAAAAACCTTGAAAAAAAACAATCAAAAAATTTAAACAAAAACAAATAATAATAATAGAAAAACTTTAACGTCAATGGTTGGCCAAATAAAGAGTTGTACACACAAAAAGAGACTATAAATGAAATTTAAATTAATAAAATTGATAAAAAAAACAAGTAAAACACTAACAACACCGTAAAAATATCACCAAAACCAATACAAAGAAACACAAATTGCCGGGTGCCAAAAATAAATACTTAAAAATAAAAAAACAATAACAAACAAAAGGCAGTAAACAAAACCTACAAAATAAACTAATGAAAATAGGAACCGAATACAAACTTTGTACTAAGGAAAAAAACAACAAAAAAATCAAATAGAAAAACTAAACTATCCGCAACTAAAAATGATGAATAAAAAACTAACTCAGCCAAAGAGAACAGAACAAAAAATGCATATCTAACAAAACAGAACAGTCAAAAACACATATCAAGATTAACAATGAAAAAACAAAGAACCAAAACAAAAAAAACAAAAAAATGTAAAACAAAAAACCAAAAAAGGGAAAAAAACCCAAACAATAGAATATATGAAAAAAATGAACAAAAAAATTACCGTAACAGACTAACAAGAAAAACAAACTAGAAATTTTTAGAGGGTAAAAAGAAACACACAGCTATTAACAGTTTTGAAAAAATAATACTCCATCCGTCCCTAAATATTTGTCACACTTGTATTCCCGAGGTAAAATATCAAGTTTTTTCAAATGTTGTAAATATTCGAAATAAGAGGTCTCAAGAATATTTTAATTTATCAAATAATCAATAAAAATGTAGAAATAGACAAAAGTTTCCGCGACTGCTGAAAAAGCAAATGTTGTAAATATTTTGAGATGGATGGAGTACTCCGTATTAAAAAAAGCAAAGAAAAAGAATCAATAGGAGAATAAAAAAAATAGGTCTCCAAAAACATCGCCGAAAAAAAATTATTGCAAAAACTCTAAAAGGACAAAAACTACCATAAGAAGACTAAAAAAAGAAATATTTGCACTAAATAGCACTTAAACTTAAGTCATTTCTCTAAATAGCACTTAAATTGTTTTATTCCCTAAATAGCATTTAATAATGTTCATAATGATCAGTGATGGCAAAAATTTACTTAAATAATGACTAATGGATAATGACTAAAAGTGCTACATTGAGAAAAAAACATGTAGTATTATTTAGGGAAAGTCATTATGTTTTAGTGCTATTTATGTAAATTCCTCAAAAAAACTCAAAAAGGTGAAAAAAAATTAGCGAACCAAAAAAAAGTGGAGTTTTAAAAACTTAAGAGCATAAAAGAAAATTTATTGGAATAAAAACAAATAAGAGGCCACTAAAAATAAACGCAATTAAGAAGTACGAGTCAAAAACAAAAACCCGTAGAAAAGAGAAACAACATAAAGGCACAATCAGACTAAAACGAAGAAAAACTCAAGAGATTAAAATTAAAAGGGAGAAGGACCAAACTAGGAGTAAAAACAAATTCAATTTCTCAAAGTAGGAGTTCAAACTTAAACTCCTCTAAATAAGAGTAATTGACCTATTGATCTAATCTCCTTCCTAAAGCCAAAAATATCTTTTCTATCTCCTCACTTTCGTGTATATAGAGCAGAGCTAACTCCTCTGGTCTTTTGTTTTCATTTTCTCTTATCCATACATCCTCACCTCCAGTACTAAAAAAAATAGGCTAACTCCACACCAAAATGGTGCAGACGGCGACGCCCACTGCTGCCATCGTCGTCTCCGCATCCCTGCCACCATCATTTGAATCTCCGCCGCCGCCGCCTGCTCTGCCCCCACCGCGCCGCTGCTATATATTGAAACCTACCATTGTCGTCGTTGATTTTTCACTGTCACCACCGACGATATCACCACTCTACCATTATCAATGACACAACCATTACAATCTGCACCATGGTCGCCATAGTGCCACATTAACTGTCAATACAGTGTCAAAGAAAGACCTAATACCAAACATGGCACCACATAACGTCACACATGACAATATATATGCTACATATGACAATGCATAATGTCATACATGGTAATGCATACTGATAAACACATCTATGTATAATGTGAAAATTCAAATTTAAATAATTGAAAATAACTGGAGCAAAAATCAGCGTAAACAATCGAAATAGCACAGCTGGAAGAATCAAATTCCCAACAATTTTGTAAAATATTTTTCAAAAAAGCAAACAATTGAAATCCAAAAACTAATTTAGCTTAAAAGAATTAGAATCGTTGAGGAAGGGGATGGACGAATCTTTGATGGTGGCAAATTGGCGTTGAACACTGTAATTGGATGCGAATCTTTGAAGATGGTGGCGATGGCGGCGCAACAAAGATGGCATGGGGCAGGTGGCGGTGGCAGTGGCGATGGCGGAAGGAGATCGGAGATGGAGCGCACATGTCGGGAAGAAGGCTGGGCGTTAATTTCGATTGCAAAAGGGTTGGGATGTGGTATGTGCAGCCAAGATAACAAAATTTATTTGTAAAAACCCCCTAAATAGGAGTAAAAGATATGTCATATCCCAAAATAGGATCTCAAACTTAAATTCCCCTAAATAGGAGTAATTATTTTAATCTCTATTAAATTGGGCTTTCACCCCTTTCGGATCAAATGCTATCATGCTCTTTTTTCTCTCTCCTTCTACACATTCTAACATGTGTCCCAGCCGTGCCGCATGATTCGCATGTCCATCTTAATCTCTCCAATTGGTCTTTTTCACATATTGAGAATGAATCAGAGCTTCCAATTTTTCTTTTTCATGGGGTCTGTAAAATTTTAGGAAGTACATTAGTAAAAGATACAGATACGATCTGGGCACCTTGATTTCTATTCCTTCTTATTAAATTTTGATTTTACAATAATAGAACTGAATTGTTGTTTTTTTTTGTTTTTGACATTATACAGGAACAAGTTTGTCATTATGTAGTGATATGTTTGTCATTGTGATTGTCGTATTTGGCATTGTAGAATCGATTGCCACTCATGCTATGCATTTCTATGTATTATTACAATAGCTCATCCAGTCTTTGTTTTTATTAATTAAGAAGGAACATTTAACCATTATTAATGCCCACCGCCGTATATATACGAAATGATGTCGAAGATTAATTTTTTTTACTATAATAAAAAAGGTTCACAATGTCATTGGATTTGGTTTGGCATTATGTCATTGTGTAACATTGTAACATTATATATGAGCATATATGTGGCATTATATATGGGCATCTATGGTATTAAACATTGTCATATGTGAAATTACATGGTGCCATGTTTGACATTATTATGTCTTTCTTTGACACTGTATTGACTATTAATGTGGCATTGTGGCAACGATGGTGCAGATTTTATGGTAGTGTTGTTGATAATGGTATAGAGCAGGGTTATCGTCGGCGGTGACGACGAAAAATCAAAAGCGTCAATTGTAGGTTTCTTTGTAGCGGTGCGGCGGAGCAGAGGATGGCGGTGGTGGAGATTCAAGTGATAGTGGCAGGTATGTGGCGGCGACGATGGCGGCGGTGGGCATCACCGTCAACGACGATTGCGATAATGGTCGTCGCTGTCGGTAGCATGCTGTTGTGAAATTGGCTGAATTTTTTAGTTTTGAACTTGGCCACCGCTGGTATTGGCCGCAAATGCAGCGCGTGTGGGGAGCATTTTTTTGTTTTATTAATTAAGTTAAAATCTTTATTTTAACTTTTTATAAAAAATAAAAAAAATCAAAAAATCAAAAACATGACTGCAAAAAAAAAGTCCCATGTAGTTACTTAGTATAGTGCTCCTGCTCCTTAAGTTAAAATCTGATCATGCTCCTTACAAAAATATGTAATCACTGCCTCACTGGTATAATCGCATACAGCTACCACTAGTATAGTCGCATGCATCTTAAAAAAATGTGCATGTGGGAGCATTTTTTTGTTTTATTAATTATGTTTACTCCTATTTAGAGGAGTTTAAGGTTGAGCTCCTCTTTTGAGGATATATCATATGTTTTACTCCTAGTTTGTTCCTTCTCCCAATTTATTTAATTACTCCTACTTAGAGGAGTTTAAATTTAGACTCTTATTTTGAGGATATGACTTATGTTTTACTTCTATTTGAGGGGTTTTCTAAAAAGAAAAATGCTAGGGGTACACCTTTGGTACCCCATTTGTCCCACACCCCCTCCATTATCACAAAAATGGGCAAGAAATTAAAAAAAAATTAAATAAATAAAAATGCGATAAAAATGAGTGGTGGAGAAGAGGTGCGGGACAAATGAGGGTGTACCAGCTCAAAAAAAAGAAGAGACTCCTACTTTGGCAACGGTAATCGCACAGCGCAAGAAACGGACGAGCCCAGGCCTTCTTCTATTCCAACTCTAATTCCTAATCCAAATTGAAGACTAAAGCTGGATTAATTCGTGTATAAAAGAAGTAAAAATCGACCAGATCAGGGGAGACGAGGGTGGAGAGAGATCGGAGCAGCGGCGACACCGGCCTAGGGTTCCGACCCTAGGTCCGGTGATGGCAGTTGGATCAGTGGAGCACAACCGCGGCGGCGCGGCGGCGCCCATGGTTGGAGCTTCTGATTTGGTGGTCTATTTCTTGGCAGCGAAAAAGGAAGACGAACAGGGGAGTAGTGTTTTTTCCTTTTCACTTTATTTTTTTATAATTAAGATATCAAATTTGCCTATTTCCAAAGTTACGAATTTGATTTTCTAATGCTCCATATTAAATATATTTATTTTCAATTTTATGTTTGTTGAATGCTTAAGTTATATTATAAGTGATGAATTGTTTGTGTGTTGGTGTTGAATTGTTCAAATATGATTTATTGATTTATTATTGTCTCTGAAATTATAAAACCTTTTTAGGCCAAATTGTTTGACAAAAAAATTGAATCTTTCATTTGGTATTCTTGTTGGATTAGTTTGACTTTGAAGAGATTTTAGTTCTACGCTACTGTTAAATCTAAACTCGAAAAGGTGTTCTGAGAACTATTATTCACCAAATTTTACTTAAATTGGACCAAATTAGGATCGCGACCTAATCTAGTTCAAATTGATATTCTTTTAAAGTCTAAAGTGCTTTAAATAGCCAAACTTTTCTAGAAACTAAGTGTCACTTGATTAGTCTTGGCTGCCTCGCTAAGTGGTTTTTGCTAATCAAGGTTCTCGAACTGATTTTGTTAAATAACTGTAGTGTTACTGCAAGATTGTTATGGTGATGTTTTTCAAAGATTTTAATGCGCTATTCTTAGTAGTAACTTAAAAGTTGGTCTTTGGGTTGCTAAGGGTAGTAAGGTTTAGAGTTAGGGTTGGTCCTAACATGAGCTAATATGAATAGGAAAATAGGGAAGAACCGTTGGTGGACCCTTTCAGCCTAACCCTAAATTTTATTAGCAGTTTAATTTCAGAATAAAGGCATAATTGATTAGTTAATCTAATTTGTTCACTTTATTTTCTATTAAAAACTATAAAGTATTTTCAAAATCGTTTAAGTTAATTATTGTCTACGTCTTTATAAAGTTTAAATGTGTATTTGTTTGTGTGTTCATTTTCTCCCTGAGTGTTCTTCTGAGTTCAAGTTGCTGTTGTGGTTCCATCTCTTATCTGTTATCCTTATCTTATTTTATTTTCATTTTTATCTTTTTAGAATTATCATTCGAACCCCCATATCTGTTAGTTTAGTTTTAGTTGTTAGTTTAGTTAGTTTTTAGTTAATAAAAGTGACAAATAAACTGATTTTCATAGCCTAAAAAGTATCTTTTCTCGTGGGATCGACCTTTGCTTGCACTATCTATATGTTTTAATAAATATTAATTCATAAAGGGGATTTAAGCTAAGGAAAATAATAAATTAATTTGTAGGTGCTACGACACGCCTATCACACGTAGGTAACATGAGTGTTGAATAAGGAAATAATCTTAGAGGGCAGAGTAGTGGTTGGATGCTGGCTGGAGGAGTTATCCAGTTTAATTATTGCATTTAAATTAATTAATGTTTTTAAGGGCAAGAACCCAAAGTTTTATTTTGAATTAAGTACTTTAAGCTTCCGCACCATTTTGATTAACTCCGATGGATTTATAAATATTGTTTTTGAATTAAATGATTTGAAATTGTTTAGAAAATTATTGTGTTTGATGCCAATTTAGTAGCAACCCGGTTCGCTACCTTGTTCGTTCGGGTTACGCGGGTTGGGGTGATACAAATTTAGTCACGTTATCTAGATAGCGTTTGAAGGAAAGTCAATTTCGTGATCATATCACGTTTTGCTTTCCTATTATGTAGCTTTAGAATTAATATTACTTGACCTTTAACAAGTGTGTTTATTAATGTTAATGGTAAGTTTTTAATTTTGAAAATTTAAAGAAAAAGGATACTTAGCTATAAACTATATAAATATCTCCTTATATCTCAAATTAAGTGTTTATCACTTGATTCATAATTTTGTGATAAACTTATTTAGGGGCTGTTTGTTTCAGCCTCTTAATGGTTCAGATGTCTGAATGGTTCAGCACTTAATGGTTCAAACTGTTTGTTTCAGCCTCTTAATGGTTCAGATGTCTGAATGGTTAAGAGATTTGCCTCTGAATGGTTAAGTATTATACAGAGTCTGAATGGTTAAGACCTCTTATCTGAATTGATCAGACATTTGCCTCTGAATAGTTAAGCAATATACTAGCTCTTAATGGTTCAGACCTCTTACAAGTTCAGCACTTAATGGTTCAGACCTCTTCCTGGTTCAGCACTTACATATTCAGAAGTTGCCAAACAGCTATTCATTATTTGTACTTTATAGCCTTGGTATGATTGTTGTGTTATGGTATGCTTGTGAGGCAAAATATCTGATCATATGAAATACTTCTATAAATGGAGCAACAATTTGTCCTTTATTAAAATAAACTAAGTACTTAAAACAATAAGTAATCTTCAATTCAAATTTAAAACTGATCAAATGTTAAACTTAAACTAAAGCATCATTAAGTTGCAACCCTTGCATCTTCAAGATCAACACTTTTACTTCTTTCTCTTCAGTTCCTGCAACGGTTTGCAATATTATAAGTATCGGATACTTTTGAAGAGATTGTAGATTAGTTTAAGTCTTTACAACAATTGTACCTGAAGTAGAAGCTTCACCCTTTTTCTTGGTTGCCAAATACTGCTTGCAATTTCTCTTCAGTGGCCAACTTTTCCAGAGTGATGACAAATAGAATCTTTGGCCACTCCACCTTTAGGCTTCAGCTTAGAAGAAGTGGACTTTGGCTCGGTATTACCCTTGCCTTTAGCTCCATTCTTCTTTAACTTCTCGAACTTCGTCTTGCCTTTTCCTCCTTGCACTTTCAAAGTCACATCAATCAGTGGGCCCTCAGACATTATACTTTACAAAGGAATGGATAAATTATTTCGACGTCATTCACATCTCTACGTAAGTTTTATTGCATACCCAAAACATAATTGTACATCCACCAATATTTCAGGTGACATAAATCACGCTTCAAAATATGCAACTCAGCTTATCAGAGATCGTAATGACTTCAAGTCGAATGATAGTTATACTAATGGTCGCATGAGAATAATATTAACACTTTAACTTAAACCCATATATTATTCTCATAGCGGGTCAATCCAGCAACATATCCAATATGTTTGCCTACTCATAGATTCAGATAACATTTTATCTACAACCTATGAAACGTAGCTATCTCATCTCATGTGTATTAGTCTTAATATATTATGATGTCCTTATTATCATAATATTCGATTAAAGATATTTTAGACGTAGCCTTTATCTTTGTAATAGTCTCATAATCAGAACGTCGTAGTTCTCATCTATGTTACTAGAGTGCCTACTCAATGACTAAAGCTATGTTTAAATCACACGAGATGATTTAAACAATCTTTGGGGCTTTTTATTCTTGATATCATGGATATGGAATCATAAGTTGGTCTCTAGGGCTCACTTATATCCAACATGAACTTGAACAATGACACACATGTCCATGTAAAAAGTCACACATACGAATGCATAATGTATACAAAGTCATAATTCCAAACATAATGTTGTGATATTTTATTTACTCGCAAGTGCACAAACCCTACGAAAGTATAGGAAGACAAATATGAGGTGTTGAAACACGTGTTTATCACTTTATCGTACTAAAGCCGTGTTCGTTTTTATGACAGGTTTTGATAATGCCAAACCGCTATGAACGAGACAAGTTGCTGAATATACAAGGCGAGAAATAAAGAAAAGAAGAAAGCAAGAGAACAAGAGCTAAAAGAGACCAAGAACGAAGATAGTAGCTTTTAGTGTCGTTGAGTTGGTCACAAATGTGATCAAGACCGACCCAAGCTTTGCACTTTGACTCTTTAAGCTAAAACATTTTTTATTGCATTTCACATATCATCAAAATGATTTTCAAACATGTTTAAACATATTAAAAACACTTGGTGTTCGCCCAAACCAAAAACCAAGCCATCCGGCGTTCGGCCTTTAGAAACCGGCGTTCGGCATTCAGTTACCGGCGTTGGTTTTTTGGCGTCCGAACCAACCAAGTGGTTTTCAACATTTTATGATTGGTTTTTACTTATGGGCACATTTAAATAGTTCTCCATAAAAAACACTTCAAAAACCACCTTTCGTTTTTGGTCGTTTGATAAAGACCATGCGAAATGACATAAACTTCGCTAGCTGTGGTTTTTACTTAAATGAAGTGGTTTTCGAGTCTTTTTGTGTGGGAATTGTTTTGAAACTCATTTAAATGGTTCTCCAATCAAAACATCATGAAAACTACCTTTCGGTTTTATCTTTTGGTAAAAACCACCCGTGTACGGCTTTGACTTGGTCAACTGTGGTTTTTACCTTAACGACGTGGTTTTCAACTTACAAAGCTTGTTTTGACATCACAATACATGAAATAAGTGTTTTAAACACTTGGTTTTTATTTTGGAGAACTTCACATTTTATCAGTCGGGTTTCAGTATCGGTTGAGTTTTAGCACCGGTCGGCTAGGCCATGGTTCAGGAAAAAACCATAGGTTTCTGGACTAGCCATCAACCCAGCGATGGGAGATATTACCCATCCAAGGGTAAGTGATCCTTTAGCTCAGCTGGATTCCAGAACCATGCCACCCAGCGATGGGAGATATTACCCATATATGGGTAAGTGATCCTTTAGCTCAGAACCATGGAAACAACGATGGGAAGTTCCACCCATCGTTGTACAAGCGTTGGTTCAACATTAACACAAGGCAGAATGCCCTTACCCAGCGATGAGAGGATATATCCATCAATGGGTAGGCATGACCGTTGTAAGGCATTTAAGCCTAATTCTTTCCTTGTTTGAAAGTCAACCTCCCACCCAGCAAGGGGAAGTTCTTACCCATGCATGGGTAGGAGACCGTTGTCTTTAAAACTGAAGGAAAAATGGTTTACCAGCGATGGGTAGTTCCAAACATCGATGGGTAGGCTGCTTTCCTGCAGATCCACATTTTAATATCAACCCCACAAATAATGCTAATCACCCCTTAAATGTTTTGATCCATTGGAGCCTACTTTGGCAATATAAAAAGGGGTGTTTGGGTCTGCATTACACATCAAATTACTTCACATTACACACATTATCATTGCATTCATATAACATCTTTTTTCATAGCTTTCTAGAGCCAAATTGTGTGAAGTGTGAGTTGTTCTCGAGCGTATATATATTTTACTCAATATCCACTCTAAAAGAGAGTATTTGTTCTTGAGTGTTTTAGTGTTGGATACACGTTAAGGGAAGCTTGTTTCCCTTGGTTGTACGAACGAAAGGAATTTTCCTTTGGGTTGAAGTCTTGGAGTGCGGTATCTCCGACTAAGTGTATTGAGGTTCGTGGGACTCGAGTTCTCAAGTTGTAACGGTTTGTTAAGCACCCGCAAGCTTAACGGAAGTAGTGTAGCTCGAGAGAGTCTCTCGGGACACTGGACTAGCCACACGTTGTGGTGAACCTGTATAAATCTTGGTGTTCTCACTTTACTCCTTTTTATTCTGCTCTTTACTTTATCCCTGCGATTTCTATTCCGCGAAAATTTAAAAACATTCTCGTGCCTCACTATTCACCCCCCTCTAGTGAAGGGCACTTATTCTAACAATTGGAATCAGAGCCTAACTCGCTTCCAAACTTAACCGTTTGAGAGAAAAGCGATCACGAGTTCTTCTTCTAGAAATCTTTATACAGGGATTGGAGAAGGTCAATCAACTTCTAGGCCACCGCTCTTCGATGGCACTAACTACACGTATTGGAAAGAGCGGATGAGAATCTATATCCGCTCAACCAACTTTCAGTTGTGGTTGGTCATCAAGAATGGCAAAGAGATGCCAATGAAAAAGGTTGGGGAGAAACTCATCCCAAAGACCGAGGACGAATTTGATGCCGAAGACATCAAGAAAGTAGAGAACTACGCAAAGGCTATTAATATGCTCTAATGCGCGGTCAACCCTGACGATTATCGTAAGATCTCCTGCTGCACAACCGCTAAGGAGATGTGGGACAAACTTGAGGTAACATACGAAGGTACGGACCAAGTTCGGGAAGCCAAAGTTGACTTCCTCATGCAGGAGTACGAGATGTTCAGGATGAAAGAAGGCGAGAAGTGTTGGACATGAGTTCAAACCCCTTTTATATATTCTAGAATATTTTTTGGGTTTTGATAAATGACAAACAGGATGATTAAATTCAACGATGATCGAAAATTTATTTTTCGTATCGAGAAAAGCAAAGAGGCGTATCAAAAAATTTACGGAGATAAAAATCAACGCTCACCCCTACGTAGATTTTTGAAGTTAAGTGAAGATCCTGAAGACTTTTATTTTTTATTGAGTCTAGGAATTTTTGTAAAGATGAAAATATTTTTTGCATAAACAAATTAATTTTTGAGGGATAAAAATTATTCTTTTCTGAGTGAGTTGAAAAATCATTTTTTCTCTGTCTAAAAATAATTTACTGAGTGAGTTTCAAAATAGTGTGTAAAAATTTCTTAAAATACTTTTTAATAAAATACAAATTTTTTGTGGTAAGAAAAATATACTTTAAATATTTTTCGTGTACACCGTTTGACACAAAAAATATTTTTGGGACTCAATTTCTACACCAAAAAAACCATTTCTTAATTCAAATTTTGAATTTGAATTAATTTTTTTCAACCTATTTGATTTGTTTGTTTTTGGGAGAATTATCATCTTGAAATTCTTGTCTAAAACAAGTCATTAAGCTCCAAATGTACATCCCACTCGCACACATGTTTTGGGTCCTCATGTTTGGGGTTTGTTCGTTAGAGGATTGATCCTTTTGTTTGGATCGATCACCGTGTGAGTACTCTGGGAGTTGGATCGATCCAGTCTATTAGATCGATCACTTTATTTTTCGGGAGTTTCTTCGGAGGATCGATCATCCGGTTTGGATCGATCCCCCATCACTTTGTAAAAATTCTTTTTCCCGTTTTTTGTTCCAGAGGATCAATCCCTTGCCTTGGATCGATCCCCCGTGTTGTTGACAGAAATTTATTTTTGATACTATACTCCAGGTGATTGATCCTCACCCCTGGATCGATCCCCAACGTCTTTTTCTGTCAAAATCAGCTCTTCCCTACCTCCAATGGATTTATTTTTTTAACATATAAAATCCCTCATCCTCCTTTAATCAGAAAAACATCTCTTGCACTCCAAACCTTCATTTCTCAATATTCAATTCTTGCTTCCATCTTCCTCATCAAATATATTATTTTGAGAGTTAGAAATATTTTTGATGAGTGCTAAAGATATTGTCATCCATAGAGCTTTCATATTTCAACACTTCTTGCTCAATTGTGTGAGCTTTCATTCTTGTATTGTAAACTCAATCTTGTTTGAGTGTTGCTAAGACTTGTGTGATTCAAGTCTTGTTGGTTGTTGTTAAAACTTGTGTGACTCAAGTCTTGTTGCAAGAAGTTGAGGCTTGTGTGATTCAAGTTCTCGAGTTGTATCGGTTTTTCAAGCACCCGTTGAAGCTTGAAGTTTAGTAGAACCTTTGAAAGAGTCTCTCGGAGGACTGGACTAGCCACAAGGTAGTGAACCAGTATAAATCACGGTGTACTCCTTTCCCATGCTCTTTACATTTTTCCTACAATTTTTCTTTTATTATCACACACGCGATTTACGCACATTCTAGCTAACAACTCTATTCACCCCCCCTCTAGAGTTGTACTTTTGTCTAACAATCGGTATCGGAGCAGGAAGTTTTTCAAATACTTCTTAATTTTTAGGAACTTAAAGATCAATGGCATCTAGAATGTTCAACGCAGGAGTTAGCGAGGGACAATCAACCACGAGGCCACCGTTGTTCGACGGAACAAACTATTCTTATTGGAAGGAAAGGATGAGGATTTTAATCCAACCCAACGACTACAAACGGTGGTTGATAGTCAAAAATGGATGTGGAGTCCCGATGAAGAAAGTCGGTGAGGTCAACGTCCCCAAAACCGAAGAGGAGTTCACCGACGAAGATTGCAAAAAGATGGAGCTCAACGCAAAGGCAATAAACATGATTTATTGCGGTGTTAATGCGGATGACTACCGCAAAATCTCGCGGTGTGAACAAATGTGGGAAAAATTGGAGGTCACCTACGAAGGAACCGCGTAGGTTCGGGAGGCCAAAATCGACCATCTCACTCACGAGTACGAGCTCTTCTCAATGAAAGAGAACGAGAAGATTGAGGAAATGTTTGAGAGGTTGTCTAACATCATCAATCCTCTCAATCTTCTCGGGAAGACATACACCGACCGAGAGCTTGTGAGAAAGATGCTCCCCAAATGGCGTTCAAAGGTAGACGCAATTGAAGAAGTTCGTGACTTCCAAACAACTACCTATGATGCTCGGGTATTATTTAATCTGTTGTAAACACTTTACAACAGAGGACGGAGGAGTACTAAGGGGCTGTTTGTTTCCGCCTCTTAATGGTTCAGATGTCTGAATGATTCAGCACTTAATGGTTCAGACTGTTTGTTTCAGCCTCTTAATGGTTCAGATGTCTGAATGGTTAAGAGATTTGCCTCTGAATGGTTAAGTATTATACAGAGTCTGAATGGTTAAGAGCTCTTATCTGAATTGATAAGACATTTGCCTCTGAATAGTTAAACAATATACTAGCTCTTAATGGTTTAGACCTCTTACTGGTTCAGCACTTAATGGTTCAGACCCTTACTGGTTCAGCACTTACCCCTAAATTCCAAAATCGTCGTTGGGAGGTGGAATATACTCAATTCCTATTACGCCGTATTATAATTGCCTGCCCTGCCCTGCCCTGCCCTGCCTGTTTACACCACTAGTGCTGCGGTGGGCGTCATGCGAAGAACGCAGTCTACCGGCAAAGGTCACGCGATGTTTACATCTGCGTCCATAATTTGTGGCAAAAGAAACAAACCTATCTATCTATTTACTGGCAGCCATGAGAGAGTAGTCGCATTTCTTTCTTCCTTTCTGTATTATTTTGGACCTAGCGGGCGAGGCTTCTGGTTAGGGTTATGAGCTGCTGTCCGAAATTTGTTCAATTAGGGCAGGGCTAATTGCTGATTTGGAGTTGTCAGGGGGGCGGTAGGATTTGATGGCTCGATTATGTTTGGCATTCGGGGATCTGATGGCATCCAGGTTCTCGCAGTCGTCTGCCAAGGTTGTTTCGAGCCACTTGGAGGACTTTACCGATCAAGAGGACAGGGAGACCGGGAGTAGCAACCAGAATAGAATTAGGGACATTTCGGAGGCTGCTCACAGTAGTTATGGGGGCAGTGCTGACAATGCCTCCACTTCGATGACGACGACAACCAGTAGGGCATATCTGCCACAGACTATAGTGTTCTGCGAGCTTCGTCACGATGGCATTGAAGAATGCGTGCCTTCTGGACAATTGGAAAGGGGTCTGGTTTCCAAATGGCGTCCAAAGGATCGAGTAAGAACTAAAGATGCCACATTTCCCTGCTATATGTTGTTTCATTATCTTCATTTATTAGTTATTACTTTTGCGTATTACATTCTCAAGCACTGCTTTCTATATTGTGATTGAATATACTTTGTGTGACTTGCCAAACATTTCTATGTCGATTCACATTGATTTCATATTGTGAATGAATGGTTTTCTTGTTTTCCAACTGAAGTGCGAAGCAGTCAAATTTACTAAAAAGGGTATAAAGGTTGAGGTGTCCTGTGCAATGGCTACCTTCATATTTCTGTCTGTTTGAACAACATATCCTAACCCGTATTGAAACTCAGCTTAGGGATACCATCATATGCGCACAAAGTAATTTCTGCTGTTTTCTTCGTCTTCAATGGCTAATAGCAAAATACTGTCAAACTAGGCCTTACCATTGTGGGCATATAACATCTCTTCCTACTTTAGTCGGGTGCCTATTGAGCTCAAGGGGCATTAACATTATTGTGCATTTTTTTCTATATAGTTAATATAATTGCTCAGGGCATCAAATTCATTTGAAATTTGGGACACGAATTTCCCTGCAAACCGCTACTTGGATGCAAGACCGTACTTCCGTTGCTTGAATTTCTAAGTATTAATATTCTAAAATATTTTGAACCTTTTCTAACTTTATTCACCTTTTCCTCCACGAAGGACATAGTTCAAATTTGGAAATAGAAAGAGAAAATAGATGGCAGTCACCATTAAGGGTGCCTTCCACCTTTTGAGAGCTACTTTTCTTTTGCGTGGCTATGGTATCATCTTCTAAGGAATATTTTGTGCAAATCTGCACTATATGAGTGGCACTAGAATATGCAAATGAAGTGATACATCAAGTTCTTGAGACTGTAAGGCAGCGTTCCATTCAACTTATTTTTTTCTGCTAATTATTTATTCTTATTAAAATCAGATCAGATTAGACCAGATCAAATCCAATCAGATAAGGTCAGATTAGATCAAATCCAATCATATCAGATTAGACCATATCACATCAGACCAGATCTAAACAAAATTAATATTATTATTTTAATTATTATTATTACTATTACTATTATTACCATTATTATTAGTATTATTATTACTATTACTATTAATATTATGATTATAATTATTATCACTATTGTTATTATTATTATTATTACTATTAATATTAATAATATTATTATTGTTACTATTATTATTATTACTATTATTATTACAATTGTTATTATTACTATTATTATTACTACTATTATTACTATTATTATTATTGTTGTTGTTGTTTCCATTATTATTAGTATTATTATTATTACTGTTACTATTATTATTATTACTATTACTATTACTATTACTATTACTATTACTATTACTATTACTATTACTATTACTATTACTATTACTATTACTATTACTATTACTATTATAATTATGACTATAATTATTATTACTATTGTTATTGTAATTATTAATATTATTATTATTACTACTAATTTTATTATTACTATTATTATTTTGATTACTATTATTATTATTATTATCATTGTTACTAATATAAATATTACTATTACTATTATTATTATTATTATTTCTATTACTCCCTCCGTTCGGGATTAATCTTCCCATTTGCACTTTTTCTCATTTTTATGAAAGGTTGACTTTGGAAGGGAAATGTCTAATATACCCTTCATTTCTTACTTGTTTTACACTTTTACAGCCCCGACCTTTTACTGCCCCAACCTTTTACTGCCCTAACATCGCCCCTCCGCTGATCTCTGCCGAGACTAACACCCACCACCGCCCCCATCATCGCCGCCGCCTCTAACCTGACCATCTCCATCAACCCTGTCACAATTGACCCAACCCCCACCACTGCCGCCTTAACCCTCAACACCATCGCCCCTCAACCCTCACCACCATCACACCATCGTCTATAGCCGCTGCCATCTCTACCTCTGGGAGACAGAGAAAAGGGAAGAGAAAAAAGAAGGGGAGAAAGTTGAGAAGAAGGAGGATGAGGAGGAGGAGGGTATTTTTGGTAGTTAGTGTATCAAAAATTGAAATGAGAAGATTATTTCCGGACAAAGAAAAAGGAGAAATGGGAAGATTATTTTCGGACGGAGGGAGCATTATTATTATTTCTCTTATTATTGTTATTATTAGTATTATTATTATAGTTATTATTATTATTACTTTTAATTATTACTATTATTATTTCTATTATTATTATTATTGCTTTTATTATCAATATTTCTATTATTAGTATTATTATTTTTATAGTTTATTATTATTATTACTATTCTTATTACAATTATTATTATTACTACTATTAATATTATTATTATTATTACTATTATTATTACTATTATTATTAATATTTCATTTATTATTATAATTATAACTATTATAATAAACATTTTAATTTTAATCAAATTCATATCAGATCAGATCCAATCAAATCAGATCAGAATTTCTAAAGTTCAGATCATATTAGGCGAATGGAGCGCAACCTAAATATTGCAATAGCAATAATAGAAACACACCTACATTTGAAATTTTGAATTATACTTAAATTTTATTCTTGGTACTTAGTCTTATTTTTGTTCTTTTTTCATATATTGTTATAGTAGATAGCTTCATTAATCCCTCTTATATTTTCTGTTTAATACCCCCCCCCCCCCCACCCCAGTCCCTAATTGAAATTCATTCTTGGTCATTAGTCTTATTTTTTTCATATGTTGCGATAGTAAATAGTTTCATTAATCCCTCTTATTTTCTATTTAATACTCCCCCCTTCCCTCATTAATTGGCATGGCTCACTATTCAAAGACCAAATCACATCTTCTTTATTTACCTATTTTTGTTAATCATTTTGTTAAAATAACATAGTCAAGTCACTTCTTATTTTATAGAGCTTTTGATGTAGATTAAAATACATAAATTCCAATGGATAAGAAAGAGTCACACTTCTAAAGTAATAGAGGATAAATTAGAGATGTATGATACTCAAATAAACCCAAGTCTTTCAATTTTGTTCATAAAATCCACGCCTTGTTGCTGCCTAGTTATCGTCTTCTCTTTACTGCTTAGCTAAATTCTACCTTACCCTGTCCAAGCTTACAAGGTGTTGCCGTATTGAGCCCCACTTCGGTGCAATATTTCTCTCTTAGTATCAGTGGACATGGTGTGGTTCTTGTTCTAGAATCGATGGTTCCCAATTCCTAAAATGGAGGGATTGGAACCAGAACCTCTTTGGACCGATACGGTTCCACTGGCGGTTCTGGTTATGATCTATTTTTTTTTTAAAAATAAATATACTTATTAAGCAAATGCAATTAGATATTGAATTTAACAAAAAATGCAATTCTTCTCACAAAACTTGTTTCCTATTAAACTATAAATACATCTTTACAAAAAAATTGGAATGGAACCGAGAACTAGAATTGGCAGTTTTGGTTCCAAAGATATAAGAAAAGGAACCTCACTTTTCATTTTGCTTCCAGTTCTCCCATCTATCTATCCGAATCTGGTTTTGGAACCGCTGGTTCTGGTTCCGAACCAAAACCGTGTTTCAAGATCCATAAACTCAATTTAGCAGCATTCAAATTTCTAACTACTTTAAAGCGTAGAATGTAGATTTATGAAGTAGAACTATGTTTTGTCAGATAACCTTTTAAATGTTCAATGCTTATTACTTTGTACTTTGCATGAATGAACCATGTGATACTATGTTTCATACTTTTTTCACCACTGCTCCACGAATTGTTGTTATGAGTGTCTTCAACCTGCAAGTCTGCAATCCATGATGTTAAGTATTAAAGCATGCAAGTTTGGGGATAAACTAGATAAGTAGAAATACAAGTAAAGCCCCTGGTTTCCATAAAAACTAATGCGGATTCATTATCACATTTTTGGACTTTTAAATGAAATGATCTATTTCCGTGTGATGATTGTCAATGGTTAAATGAAAAAAATAAAATAAAATAAAATAAAAATTAAAATTTAAAAAATAAATAAATAAGAAGAAAATGGAAATGAGTTCTCAATTGAGAGAAAGATATACCATTAGGTTGAGATAATCTTTCCTTTAAAATACATATATGGTATTCTGCATGTCAATCTGATAGATGGTGGGCACATTTTTAACATGTTGGTAGACAGATCAGGCCATTGTTTTAGGTAAATTCCTACTGCTATATTTTAGCTATTATTCTTATGGTTCATTGTTACAATATTATTATTGTTATTATGCTGGCCTTCTTTTGACATCAAAAATTGTCATATTACGACAACAATGGCTATGGTGCTCCTTTTGAAAATTGATGGTTCCTACCCCCATAAACCCCCACCCCAGCATCCCCCCTCCCCGGAACGCCGATTGGCTACAGTGTTCCCAAAACGCCGATTGGCTACAGTAACACTATAGCCAGTCGGCGTTTCAGGGAGGGGGGCTGCTGGGGTGCGGGTTTATGGGGGGTAGGAACCAACAACTTTTTGAACAGAGCACCGTAGCCATTGTCATATTATGACAACAAAAGCTGTTGTCAAAAGAAGAGCACCGTTATTAGTATTATTATTATTATTTTTATTGTTGTTATTATTATTACTATTATTAATTTTTTTTGTTGTCGTCATTATTAGTTTTATTGCATATGCTGCTATGCACTCTGTTTTACCACAGTTTTTGTTGCAGATGCAAACGGGATGCGTTGCTCTTGTGTTGTGCTTAAACATTAGTGTTGATCCTCCTGATGTAATCAAGATATCACCTTGTGCTCGCATGGAATGCTGGATTGGTAAATTGAATATCTATCTCTTTTAGTGGTTTGACTAAAGGTCTATAACCTTGCCGACAGTTTAATGCTCTGATCTAATTGTCTGGGTTTTACGAGTACCAATTTCTATTTGGATTCTGAACTGGATAGGTTGAACATTTATCTTTTTAATAAGTAATAACTAGAGTAATAATGCTAACTATCAAAGGGAGAGTCACATATCTTCATTTGTTTTGCATTTTAAATGTTATTTTAAATCATTTCCTTTTCTTTGAAGGATGATAACTCTTGATCCATCTGATCCAACCTTAGAAAATTGATTAATCTAAATCAATGTGTTTTTGTTAACTGTTTGTAGGGAAGAGGAATACTTTTGCATTTATGCGTCTTTTCCATTTTGCTCTTGAGAGCTGCCTGACAAAATTTCTTTCATATGATGTCATTTCTTTTGTTCGTTTTGCAGATCCATTTTCAATGGCCGCACAGAAAGCACTCGGAACAATTGGGAGGACTTTGAACCAGCAATATGAGAGGTGGCAGCCTAAGGTAGAAAGGTCTTTGCATGATAAGTACATCGTGAGAAGGCATAGTTGTGTAGCTGTGTTACATGAGTTTTGAGTAATGACTTTTAAATTAAGTAACTTACAAACATGTTGATTTAAAGGCCCGCTATAAAATCTCACTGGATCCCACCGTTGATGAAGTTAAAAAACTATGCACAACATGTCGTAAAAGTGCCAAGTCCGAAAGAGTTCTTTTTCATTATAATGGACACGGTGTACCGAAGCCAACTGCAAACGGTGAAATATGGCTATTTAATAGGGTTCGTTTCTAACTTAATACTTTTTAGGTTCTATGATATGTTTTTGTCTTAATTTCATCTAGAATGTTTTTTAGAGCTATACACAATATATCCCTTTGCCGGTCAGTGACCTGGATTCATGGTTGAGAACCCCATCTATATATGTTTTTGATTGCTCTGCAGCTGGAATGATTGTTAATGCCTTCATAGAGGTACGAGACTAGTATTTTTCAATAAGTGCAAACTAGCAGTTTTCTGATCTGGAATTGACAATTAACATTGTTGCTTTTCATGTACAGCTTCAGGACTGGAATGCTTCTACTTCTTCTGGGGCTTCGAGGGATTGCATTTTGCTTGCTGCATGTGAAGCACATGAAACTCTTCCTCAAAGTGCTGAATTTCCTGCTGATGTATTTACTTCATGCCTCACGACACCAATTAAAATGGCACTGCGATGGCAAGTATTTTCAAACTATTATTTTTTGACATTCTTATTCTCCTTTATTAATTATC